TATATCAAATCACATGCAGTATTAAAATCATCAGTCAGGATTGTTTTGTAAGTGATTCAATATTAACTCAGGCTGGCATATTGTAAATTACTGAAAACTCTGGTCTTCTTAGTCTGAGTCCAACATTCTACTTTACTCTTTTCTTGTAATTCTTAACATGCTATGTCAATCCCTTTGGCATTCTGAAAACTCTCTATTTCTGCTATTGAATTGTAACCACTACCTAATTACTGGTAGTCCTTGACTTAAAACCATAATTAGGCTCATAATTTCTGTTGCTAAGCAAGGCAGTTGTTAATTTTGCCCAATTTCACGACCTTTCTTGCCATAGTTGTTAAGTGAATCACTGTAGTTAGGTTAGTAATATTAAATTAAGTGATTTCTGGTTTCTCCACTGACTTTCCTTGTCAGAAGGTCACAAAAGGTGATCTCATGACCCTGGGATACTGCAACCATCACCTGCCATCCATCCAAAGTTGATCATGTGACCCTGAAGAAGCAGCAACGTGTCGGCTCATAAAACATTCCTATGCCTGTTTTAGTAGTTGCCATAAAAAAGAGGGGGAGGAAGGTAATATGGAAGAGCAGTTGAAAGCAAAAATACATTCCAATGCTTATCTTTAAAAGATTGTAACTAAAATACCAAAGTTTTTGCCCACAAATATATTTAATTGGAGAACGTGCATGATGACGCCCAGCCTGTGAACGTGCTCAATTGGAGAATCTGGTTTATGAACCACCTGGGGGGAGGGGGGAAACAGGGTCACAGATGACTGTAAATTACATATGCCAGAGTTGGCTTCATACAGTGCAGTGCCAGTATGTCACATCTAATGAATCCTTTGAAGTTTTTTGAAGTTTGGCTCAAGAATCATGATTTTATGAGAGCAATTGCTGGAATCCTGACACAAGGGTTGTAACTGCATAAATCAATTTTTTCAGTGCCATTTTTAGCTTCAAATGGTAATTAAATGGATGGTTATACACTGAATTTAATTTGCTGGTCTAATCTTGATAATAGCCTTTTTAAGTGAAATTTGGGCAAGTTTCTTTCCTTTCTTTATCACATGGGTATTCATTTCACCTAAATTTCCTTCTGTTGTCAGAAATCTACTTGTATAAGAAAATTCATAGCATTTGTTTATAACATTATTTATAACTATACAATCACTATCCACCTCTAAATTATGTTACATTGGTTTTGGCATCTATATAACTATCAATCTATAAAACTTAGAATTATAGGAAGATTTTACTGCTTAGTGAAAGTCCTTTCATTTGTGCTTAATATGTGCAATGTATCCCTTTGAATCTAATATTGTGGTATTGCTTGATTTTGCCTGCCATCTTGTGGTTCTCCTGTGTAGTTAAGGATTGCTGAGTCAATCCAGACTGAATATTGGATGGAATTGGGTTCAAGAACACAAAGTAGCTTTTTCTGTCACCTCTTTTTGACAAACAGAATTAACAGGATCCAATATATTAATGTGTGTTGATTTTTGTTGCAGTTGAACTGTAAAAAACTTTTATCTAGCTTATATATCTATGTGGTGTAGTCTTGAATTACACCAATACTACAAGAGCGTATAATTGTAATTCCTCACCCTCTTTGTTTTTAGGTGATTTGATTATTTTATTTGTTTTGTTGTTGTTTTGTTGTTTTCTATTATTATCCAGAATCCATTAGAGTTGGTGGCTATTAATTCAAGCTTTTTAAAAAAACCACTGAACACTCTTATCACTATTGCTAAAATTAGAAAAGATATCCTGTCCCGTAGTCAACTTTATTTTCCTGTCCTATTACAAAGGGATTCAAAATTCTTCTATTTAAAGAAAATAAATATTTAGAGAGCTCTTCTGATCTTGGAAAAAGCAGAATCTTCCTTATTAAAACCTAAGCTAAGGCCATATAGTTGAAAATAGATTCAGCGTCTTGCATACATTTAACTGATGCTTTTATCTTTGCCTTTTTCTACTCCTCTTCATATTTGCAAAACTCTGTATCTTGCTTTGTAGTAAATGAAGTAATGCCAAATAAGATATTGTTGATTTTCAGCCATCTCCCTTAAGAACTTTATTAAGTATAAATTTTGTATACATTGCAATCCCTCAAATGTCAGTATCTTGTCTATAGCAGGGAAAGGTGGGAAGAAACCATATTGTATTCAGAAGACAGAACATTCCAACAGTGAAAACTGGTCAAATTAAAGCTCTTATCTCCATCACCTCTACCCAGAATAGAGAGAATGATTTTTTTTTTCTACCTAGTTAGTTTAGCTCTTTGACTGTAAATTTTGAGCTTTGTTGTTGCATATTGGTAGAATATCATTGGTTTGCTTTTCCCTCTCTATTCTTCTCAATCTGCATCCACTCCCACTTTCTACAGCCAGTGATCGGAAGGAATCCCAGAGGAATTGCTTCATGACTATGTCTTTATATAGATCCAATTCAAGTACATGAAGCCAGAGAATCTGGTGAGTGATTGTACATTAGTAACAAAATATTCATATACCTTGCCTGTTGGCTGTCTTATTGTTTTTATGTAAATTGATGGCTGCCCAATTTCAGTGGATTCTGGGTGGTGTACAAAACTAGGATAAAAATAAAAAGAACTATAAACATTAAATCAAACAAGAGAGCCCAGATTAAAATGATTTAATTAAAAAAAATCAAATCAGCAAATTGATTTTGAAACCCAGGCCTGGGACTAACACCAGCCATCAACCTTATCTCTGTGGGGTCCTGTTCCAGAGGGAGGGAAACAGAGGCACTTCCTGGCTCCCTTAAGATGGCAATATTTAATGAAGGCAACCTGGAGCTCACCCACTCTGCTGTATTGGATGGGCAGAGATGATTGGAGACAAGCAATTCCTCAGATATCCAGGCCCTATGCTAAACAGGGTGTTATAGGTAATAGCTAGCACTTTGAATTGCACTCAGGAGCCAAACGGCAACCAATGCAGCTCATGTAGCGGTGACACCCTGAGCACCCTGAGAGGTTCTCAATACTGCTCACACTGCTATACAGGTAGTCCTCTAAATACGATCACAATGGGCCCAAAAAAAAATGTTAAGTGAGACATTTGTTAAGTGAGTTTCCCCCATTTTACAACCTTTCTTGCCACAGTTGTTAAGTGAATCACTGTAGTTGGTAAGTTAGTAACCAGGTTGTTAAGTGAATCTGTTTTCCCCATTGATTTTGCTTGTCAGGTCAAAAAAGATCACATGACCTTGAGACACAGCAACGGTCATTAGTCAGTTGTCAAGCATCTGAATTTTGATCACATGATCATGGGAATATTACAAAGGTTATAACTGTGAAAAACGGTCATAAGTCACTTTTTTCAGTGCTGTTGTAACTTTGAACAGTCACTAAATGAACTGTTTTAAGTCGAGGACTACCTATATTTTGAGCCAGCTGCAGCTTCTGGGTTATCTTCAAGGGCAGTCCTGTGTAGAGTGCATTGGAATATCCCAATTATAAGATAATCAGGGTAGAGTAATTATATCACTTTTATAATTACAACACACTTATAATTAAGTTCAAGAACGATCACATTCTCCCATACTGAAAAAAAGCAGGTAAAGACAAAATCCTAAAATGAGTAACTTTGCCTATTGCTCCCTCTTTATTTTTGAATGGGTCCTTAAGTATTTTTTATGCATAGAAAGTTTTCTCTCTCCCAATAATTGGTTTGAAAGCTAAATTGTATTCCCATATTATAGTTTGTGGTTGTTTTTCAACCACTGTGTACCCAAGACATTTCAAGAAATATTGCAAAAATTATCTGTTATCTCTCCAATTCCTTCTCCCCACTACTTCACTTAAATGGACTTTCTTGTTTTTTCAAAGTCCAAGTTTTTCAGAGCAGCCATTGTTCAGAATCAAAACAAATCCTTCATACATATGTTCACTATATTTTTCACTCCTTCCAACTCCCATTAGATTACACACACACATACACACACACACACCTTTTCAGCACTGGGTAGCCCTATGCCTTCTAGGATACTGCTTTCATTATAAGTGCCCTTGCATAAATTCAAAACTGTATGACCTTCCCCAGAAATTCTATAGATCAGTGATTTTCCATCTGTGGTCCGCAGTTCCCTGGAACTATGAAGTTGTATCAGGGGCTCCACAAAGCCGTGAATAAATGTTATGATTTAAGTCTTGAGTTAAGTCTTGAGGTTCTGTGGCCACAAAAGGTATTTAAAGAGGGTCCGTGGTGAAGAAAAAGTTGAGAACCACTGCTATAGATCAGGGGTCCCCAACCTCTGGGCAGTAGCCCAGTACCACACCATGGCCTATTCAGATTTGGGCCACTTGAATGGCTGGAGCACACGCCTGCATGCACATGCATGCAGGGCTCAACTTGCATAAATGGCGAGCTGGCGGGCACTCGCACATATACAGGCCAGCGCACCAGCCCACTGCTCACGTGGCCCAGTTCTCCTCTCCCTCCCCCCCCTGCTGGGCCACCAAGATGCAAAGTTTTGGCATCACAGCTATAGATGACACATAGGATTGTTTTCTTTCCTTCTATATTTAACTAAAATTCAACAGTAAATCATCTGATTTATCCACTACATTTTAAAATCCTGTTAGAAAATGTTTTGTAAATTTTTGTATAATTGTTTATTTCATAAATAACTCTAGTTCAGCTAACACACTTAGTACTCATTTCTCTCCCCATTTTCCTTATAACCACTGCCCTGTGAGGTGATTTGGGCTAAGAATAACTGGCCTAAAGTCACCCAGCTGGCTTTTATGCTTAAGGTGAAACTAGAAGTCACATTTACATGGTTTCTAGCCTTGTGCCTTAACTACCAGATAAAACTAATGGTTCTCTTTCACTTCAAAGAATTCTGCATAATAGAGTACAAATGTTCCAATAAAAGACTTCTTTTATATTTTCTATATGTCTTGTAATAATCTGTGTTGCCTAACTTAGTTAATTATCAGGAGATGCCAGGAATATGTACCATTTAAACTTGCCAGCAGTTCAAAGACTAGATTTTATTTTATTTTTTTCAAGGTACAAATACAGTAGATAGAAATAGAGGATTCGGAAAAATCTATGATAAACATAAAAGGTGCACTTGACAAGTTACATAAAAAGGGCAAACACTAGTATTAATTTTCACTATATAATCAGTTTCTTATATCTTAAAGGCTTCCAATGTAACTTATAAATTTCAAAATAACTTATAAATTATTTAAATACATACATTTATGAAACATTTATTATTTTCAATTTACAGTGTGATCACATGAAATATCCTAGACTGGATCTACTTATTGAAACAAGAAAAATATATTAGCGGAGAGATTATTCATTTCTTTAAAAGAAAGCTTCAAAATTCAGCAATGATGGATGACACCCACATCTCTCATTAAATTGTGTTGTTGCATATATACCTAAGGCAAAAAGTAACAGCATATGCTTAATGCAAAGCTTACAGAAACCAGTATTAAGATTTCTTGTGTCATCATCCAGCTTTGATTTAATCATCCTATCTCAACAGGATATCACACACTGTATTAGCACTTGCCTATATGGTACTTGGCATCACCCAAGTCTGCTTCTCTGAAAGTTTCAACTTTGCAAAACGAAGAACAATAAAAGACAACTGGAAGAATTGTATGCAGATCTTAATATTTGAACAGGACAGGCATTCACTGTTTATAAAAATATCAGGTTCTCACTGTTACTATTGTATGAGTTAAAAGTAGTAAATGAAACTCATCAGAAACTGTTGGATGTATGGCAGTCTTAATCACCAAGGACAAGCCTCTTTACAATGTCCCATTAAAACTAATTTGCAATAAAAAGAAATAAATGTCTTTGTTAGCCACTGTTCTCTATTTATATCATTCTACTACATTTAGAACAGTATAAAAAAAGCTTTAAATGCCCAGTAGAACTATAACATCTCCTATTATTCATCCAGACCCAAAGCCAATTATTTTCACATGCAGATTGAATCCTTTTGCTACTTGATTTATTCTGGCACAGCTAAAATTATCAAATTGAGAGTGTTAATATGTAGTCCCTATTTCCTACTTAACATCCCTCTGATGGGATGGGATGGCAACTCTGAGAGTTCTAAGTAACATACTCTCCACTTGGCTAAGAGGGCTAACAATTCAACTCAGCAGATCCAGAGACTAGTTAGTTGCTAGTCTTCCAACTAAATAAAATAGCAACTTATATGACACTAACATTATTTGCATGGTCATCAAACTCCTTTAAGTACAGATTGGAATAGCTTCAAAACAAAATGTTGGAGTGTTTATGGCTTAATGGTCTATTATAGGAGGATTTATATATTGCTATCTGACTTTATGGTAAATATTTACCAACTGTTGAAATGCAAGAACCACCTCAATCTATACATAGAGATTCTCATACTCCCCCCGCTCTCTCTTTCTCTCTCTCTCTCTCTCTCCACAGAGTATATAAAGTTATTATCTTTTGTCTTCATCGAGTGTTTAAAAAAGATACTTGAGTTTCCTTCTGAGGCAGCAGCTGAAGTAATTTTAAGAGAACTGTTAATATTTCACTGTAAAAAGAAGTCAGTTGTGGCTGTTTATTCATCATTAGTAATACTTCACTTGTTATTGCTGCTACTTGTTTATCATTACTTAGCCTCAAATTTACTTGACCTTTCTTAACTAAAATGAACTTTCTGGATGATTAAGAATGTGATTAAGTAATTCCAGTTAGTCAAAATATTGTTAGAACTTATGAAATGCCTATACACTGCTTTACTGATATATAGATTATTATACAAAGAAGATAATAAGAACCTCCTTCAACCTGAAGCTCCAAAGGAAACCTAAAACACCCAAAACAATGAGCCCAGGGCCATTCCTGTTGCTGCCCCAGCCAACATGCCCAATGCCAGGTCTCCATCAGTATCTCGGTAACGTTCTCGAATGATGACATGGTTTGCAGGAAGCGGGCCATAGGGACCTGAAAAAAACAAAAGGAGACATCCATAAACTTCTTTTTTTCTGTTTATTTTTGTATTGTTCTAGCACAAGGAATGTTAGATCTCCATAAAATTGGACAGCTAACACATTCTTGGTTAAACCTTATCATGAAGTAATAAAAGAAGTTTTGTAATGAATATCGACTAGAAAATCTTAAATTTAATAGCAAAGAGCATTAGAGAACATATCTAACGTTCTCTAACGTATTCACATATGCACAAAAGGGGTAAATGAAGAAGCATGAGTAAAAGAGTTGATTAAGACTGCATGTGTATTCAGATACTGCTCTCCTTTAACTCAAAATCCTCCAAAATACTTAGGAAGAGCAGGATGTCTTATTTGAATCTGTCATATGGAGTCAATTCTGCAACTACAAAAGTAAAACTTAATCCTAAAATTACTAAGCTATTTTGCTGTGAGTGGATATAAAAAGGATATACTCAGTAATGCAATCTTCTAAACATCTACTCATAAATGAGTACCTCTAAGTTCAGTAGCATTTACTTCCACATAAGTATGTATAGAACTGCTTCCAAAATAACTTACTTACGAGATATAAAATAAGATAAATAAAATACTTTCTTTCAGGTGCAAGGAGCTAGAATGACACCATAAGCTGAACAGGGTTGCTTCCTTATTGTTGCTAGCCTATTTACAAGAATCTTGCCAAACTAACTGCATTCTCTTGGGAACAGTAGATAAAGTCTTCAGGAATTTTAGAGAGGGTCTGGCCTCAGCTGCTTTCTCCCCTGGAGCGATTCCAAGCTTGCTAATCTCTTTACTCCACATTTCCCCCTACTCCAGTCGGAGATTCCACCACACTTTCTCCCCATTTCTTAATAAATGGCAAAAGCAGCAACCTTTAGGGTACATAGGATTCCTTGCCTGGTGTTGTATCACCAAGATCACATGGCTCAAATTTCAATAGTCAATTACTCATTGAAAAACCAATAACCCTAACATAAGAGTATTAAGCATCTTAATAGACGTAATCAACTATTTTGCTTAAAACAAGCAAGAGAGTGGGGATTACATCTTTGGATTGCAAAAGGATTGCTTGCTCCTAATGTAGCATAAAAACTGCTTGTACATAATTTGTACATTAACATGACTCTAAACTTTGAATCAGCTCAAGAGCAAAATAAAAAGAGCAAGTACCTTGGTTTGGGTATTGGTAAGGTATAGCATATGTCTGTCCATTAGAAGTGTAGATGATCTGAGATCCTGGATATGCACCATTGTATTGTGGATAACCATAAACCTAAGGGAATTATAATCATGTTAGAACCATCCGTGAAAACAATGGTGATAGTGAATAGGACCAATTACAAAACACTTATTTACCAGAAAGTCAAACAGTTTAGGGCAAGGGTGTCAAACTGGCAGCCCCTGGACTAGATGCGTCACACGCAGGCCACAACCAGCTCCGCAAAGGCAAAAAAGTCTTGATACGTTATGATACATCATGTGACATGATCGAGTTTTACGCCCGTACCACTTTTACCTTCTCAGGATGCTCTCTCTGTCATTAACTATTTATGTCTCTCTTTTTTTTTCAGGATTTTCACACACAAAGATTATCATTCAATTCAATTTAATTCAGAATGCTTTTAGGATCTAATAGGGACCAGATTAATCCTCAGAAACTAAGGGTAAACTTAAGATAAATACTTTGCACACATTTATTTGCTTTCAGTCAAACAGACAGGGAAGGGAAAACTGAGTTATATCCACTGGTCCTCACAAGTGTCCGGGTGAGGTCTCAGAACTAGGAAACTACAGGCTATGCTTTCATTACGAGTGGGGGCATAATACATTTGCATGAAAAAAAATAAAAGTACTTCCTAACAGTCCTGCTTCAAGACGGCAATCCTGTCAGTAAGTTTAGTACATGTTGATATAAAACATGTCAATTACTGCTATTTTACACATTTACACATAATTTACACATTTGATTTGATGTACCTCAGGTGATGGTGTTGCACAAGCTGTATATGGAGGGGGTGCTGAAGAAATCGCATTGTCATCATACATCACCTCAGAAGCAACATAAGCCTGGACACATCAACATAAAAATGTAGCAAAAGTCGGTCATGTTATTAAATGACAACCGCAACTAAGCAGTTCAAACCTAAGAAAGGCAAAGACACTAACATGATTTGCACAAAGGTGGTGTTTGTTGAAAGAGACAAAGATGGGGGGGGGTTGAAAGCAATGTTTCTAACTAATGGATAATTTAATATCTATTATGCATAATATTCAAGTTAAGTCACTCGGTTTTGCTTTCTATTTAATATCAGAAAGATGTCAAATAAAAACAGTACATACAAAATTCCACAGGAATACAATAGGACTATGATGGTGAACCTATGGCACACGCACCACAGGTGGCACGCAGAGCCATTTGTGCCAACACGCCAGCCGCAGGCAAACTTACCGCACTGCGCATGTGCACACCTCACAGCTGATTTTTGGCTGGTTTGAGGCCTTTTTTGGCCTCCCAGAGGCTTGAAAAAAGCCTCTGCAGGCCGAATAGGCCCATTTCGTCACTTCCAGTATACAGGCCTATTCAGCCTGCAGAGGCTTTTTTCAAGCCTCTGGGAGGCCAAAAAAGGCCTCAAATGAGCCAAAAATCAGCTGTGAGGCGCAGTGCAGGAAAAGAGTGGAGGGGCAGGGAGAATTTCACACGCATGCACGGGGGGCATGGGGACATGCATTGCCTTTTGGGTCCTGGCATGTGAGCGCGTGCACACTAGCACACGCACAATTTTTGCCACAGGAGCCCAAAAAGGTTAGCCACCACTGCAATAGGAGATGCCGGTGTAATTTAGTAACACAGGTCAGGCTGGCTAGTATTTGTGGAAGTAAAATTAATCCTATGATCACACAACAAGACTTCTTACAAAAAAGGAAAAAAGAACTTGAAAATTCTAGGTGTCTATAATTACTCAATTCTTGCAACAGTTGAGAAATACCACAATGAATGGCACTGCATAGGAAACTATTTTCAAGAGCCCATTCTGCCATTCAGATAAGTACCATAAGAATGAGAATAAGAATCCCAATTAGGAGTCCCACCAGATTTTGAAATTTTTTTATTCAAAAGCAATTTGATTTGTGTTGGCTTTGTGCAGGTAGTGATTGAATCCTGATTGTTTTTAAAGTATTGCATAACCCACTGTTTATATAAAAAAGTCTCTTGCTATGTTGCTCTCCCCCGGGGCTAATTCTTTTACTCTTTTCACTTCTGCAAACAAATTGTGGCTTTTTATAAAACAAGTTGTTATTTTACAAACCTCTCACTCAATGGACTCTGAAGTCTGTTTGTATAATCCTGGTGCTCTTTTCAAGTATATTGGATTACAGGTCCCACCACCTCATCCAGCAAAGTAACAGGATTTGTAATCCAACAACTTGAATACACCAGCCACCAAAGCTGCTTGAATTGGTAGAACAGATCTATTCATGAGATTAACTCTGCCTACGCTGTCTTGAATATTCCCCAAGGTTTACTTTTAGAGCATGAAAAGGGAAGGGGAATGGAAGGGAGAGAATAGGAGGGAAGGGAAGGGAAAATACTTCTTAAAAAAAATCCCCTATATTTTAACTTTGGGAAAGTAAATAATTGGCCATATATGGAATGCTCGCTTTTTTCTTTAACCCTGAAAGTTTGTCTTATTAACATATACAAGGGACTTGGTTTGTAGATTTTGCTCTTATTTGCATTTAAATAATCCCTTTTAATCACAATCTGTAACAAACTTGACAAAAAGTGGTAAACAGCATCATTATGTTCTACTGGTTCCCCCCCTTCAGATTGGGTTACTCAATAAAATACAATAATGAACAATGTGAAATGTGGCATTGATCCTAGCAATTTGCCAATAGTCTGGTTTTCTTCAAAGAGACAATACACATTGTCAACTAGCGTTGCTCAGATTTTGCCCAGTGTGTAGCTTTTGAAAGACTTATACTTAGCCATACAACTAAATAACCTAAGTAACTAACCTGCTCTGCAAGTTCTTTGTCAACAACACCAAATGGAAAAGTGAGTTAATTGAGCAAGTTATTGTTCATCAACAAACAGCAAAGTGACCTTTGGTTCCAAAAGTAACTCTTGATGAGGTTGTGTTCTTCCAAAAGGAGGGGTCTCCAACCTTGGCAACTTTAAGACTTGTGGACTTCAACTCCCAGAGTTCCTCTGCCAGCTTTGCTTAGAGTCTTAAAGTCTTAAAGCTGCCAAGGTTGGAGACCAATGCTTTAAATAACAGTAGAAGCCACAGCCATGAGAGCTTCTACCAAGTATCAGTTGCTGTGCCATTTAATGTCCTACTATGCCAGGATGCCCTGGTATCAGTAGATCAAGTCTTACTCATCACTTGACTGGATTACCAAAAGACTATATTAGGTGGCTTGCCATTGGAAGTGACCCAGACTCTACAAGTAATACAAAACGTAGCAACCCAATTACTACTGAAAGAATTCTCAATGCAGTTCCAGGGTATCTCTAGCAAAGTCCTACCAGAAAAAAATCTGCCTATCTGTTCAGACATCTGGACAAGGCTTGTTAAAGGTTTCTTTATAGGGTTCAATTGGAATGAGAACCAAGTGATAGATTTTCTCAGTACTGCTTCCAACACCCTCTGAAATACTCTTCCCTGGAAATGCAGAAGGTCTTAACCCTGCTTGCATTTTGCAAACAAATAAAATACTATTTTGTTCAAGGAAGTTTTGTTCCTTCTTGGTCATTTGTTATGTTTAACTTTTGTTTTTATCTTTGAACTGTATGTTTATCTTGTAGTTGCCCAACCAAAGCCAATTAGAATTGAGGCATGATATACATATTGGGAAAAATAATAAATGTATTTATTTATAAATTATTATATTTGTATCAATTATTAAAATATTAGTTACATTAAAGTTTATAAACAGCCTAAGATTATATTACTGAAATGGAATTAGATTCAAAACAAATAAATAATTAGGTCTCTCACCACAGATTATAGCAAGAACAACAACTAATACTCACTTCATTTGTTCTGGCATCCTGAAGAGCAATTTTCCAAGCCCTACAAGAAACGTGAGCTAAGTCAAGCACAAAAAGGAAACAAATCACTAGCAAAGATGAAAAAATATATGCAATTACCAGTTACAACTAAATCATGGTCTAATAATAAAAATTCAAATATTTTAATTATTTATATATTATAACAATGTATTATTATGGAATAATATTCAAAGTGAAATTGTATATGTTTGGCATTCATTATAAAGACGTATGACATCAGTAAAGACTGAAGCCACAATTTGGGCTGGGAAGCGGCTTAACCATCTTAATCTGGTATATCAAACCATAGTGGAAGGGGTCATATATGTTAACTGCCCATATCTAAAACATTGTGACTCGATTCCAATGCATTAAAACCTCACATTCTAAAGACTGAATGGTAGATTTAACAGTTCTGTGAAGTTTCTTTTTTTTGGTCATCAGATGATAGATCTTATAGAAAATTGTTAATATGTAATTTTATGTGGGTGGGGATATATTAAATATTCCTGCACTTGTTACAAGAATAATCAGAAATTACTTCATTAAATATTATTTTTAATATTTCTTTTCTTTTTTTTTCCTTTCTTTTTTGCACTTTATATTTTATATTTTTTACTTTATTTTCTTGTTCTGATTTTGGTTTATCTTTTAATATTCCTTTGAATATTGTTAAACTCTTTAATAAAAAGGATTTTTAAAAAAGAATAGTTAACAGTTAATAGTTATCAGCCACAGGAATCCATTTCAGCCGCATAAAATACATTATTACTTATAAACCACTACCAACTACTCTAAGGACAATATATAAAAAGTAAAACAGATATACATCCTGTCTAAAACATAAGTTTAAGATTAATTTCTCTTCTTGGCAGGAGTATCAAACCCCACATCTAAGTTCTTGATCATCATAGCAACGCTGCTGAAATGAAAATGCATTATGGTACTATCCTCTAGGATAACAATGGATAACATTCAGCACATTCTGATAGACTATGTAGCCCAAAGGCTTAGAGGCAATAAAATTATACCTTGGCTATTGCTCTATAATTATAAGAAAACTGGTCCAAATTATTTGTTGCTTTCCCAAGTCATCTCAATGTCCTTGAGCTCTCCCTAGAGTGGGCCAATGTAATGTTTTAATAGCTAGCAATGCATTAAAGAACCAGTTTTTCTCTAGAGTAATCAATGTGGCTCATTGAAGATTAACCTACTATTTCGAACAGTCAAAATTCCAATATCTGCTTAAATTCTTCACACGCAAAGCATGTTCTATGGCATCCAATGAGTATGGGTAGATAATGGACAGCAGAGTGTCTTGTGGTTTCTTTTTTTTTTTAAGTATTTTTTTATTTTTTTTATTGTATTCTTTGCAACATTTTGGTATCGGCATACATTCATTTTACATACATTTTGTATACCATGTGTATTTATTATCATACTATAATATTTCATATTCTTTATTTATCCTTATATCTACTATTTAACCAATTATACCATGCATTCCAAATCAATAATATTCAGTTTCTCCTCTATCTTTTATTTCCATTGTCAGCCTATCCATCTCGGCACACTCTAATACTTTCCTTATCATACTTCCCTTAGATGGTATAATACACTTTTTCCAATTTTGCACATAAACAATTCTAGCTGCCATTATTAAATGTAGCATTAAATATTGTATTTTTGTCATATTTTCCTGTTATTCTACCTAGTAAGAATATCTCCGGTTTTAACTCTATTTGTTGTTTAGTTATTTCCTCAATCCACCTTCTTATCCTCATCCAATATTTTTTTGCTACTGGGCCACATATGATAGTATTATTCCTTGATTCTGTTTACATTTCCAACATTCCAGTGATCTATTTGGAAACATTTTTGCTAGTCTTGCTGGAGGTAGTTGCCATCTGTAAAAACATTTTATATACGTTTTCTCTGTATGTTGGTGACATTGTCAATTTATAATTTTTTCCCCACAATTTTCCCATTTTTTATAATTCTATAGTGTAGCCAAAGTTTCAGACTATCATGAAAAACATCTTCTATTTATGTAATGTTAAATATTAGAAAAACAAAACTAATGTCACTCAGTATGATTAGTAATTCTGAGCATGGAACAGCCCATTATTTGGTAGTCTCAAGAATGAAACATGGGGAAGAAGGAATTATCTTGAAAGGAATGAGAGAAAACAGATTGAAAGTAGAAAGATTGTTTTTCTATTATCTCATTCATGTGTGTGTGGAGGTGTTTATATGTCAGAGAGAGAGAGACCCTAGGAGACATACAATAAATATTATAGGTTGTGTCGTTGGTCTCAGCAAAATATAATGCCTGAAGTGCCAGAGAACTAGCAGCAGTCCACTGAAAATAGGTCCTTATCTCAAAAGCCCTTACCAACTTCAGGTTCCCCTTAAGATATCTTTCATCCATTGGGACCCGAAAGCTAAGAGCAATCCTAAAAAAACAGAGGACTAAGCCATAATTGAGCTTACAACTGCTGCTTGCTTTGTTAAAGATGTCACTCATACTGATGCCTCAGAGCAACCTTAGTTCACCTGTCATTGCCACTGTCACTCTGCTACTTAGGTACCACAAGACATTAGGGCTGAGATCAAGGTTTCTATGGATGAACTCAGTATTTTGACTGTCACCTTTAATATATTAAATGTGCTGGCTAGAAAGGGAGAGAGGGAGAAGGATTCTTTATCAGCCTGTCTTTTCATCTCAAAAAGAGTTAATCCTTTCCTAATGACTCCATCACTCTGATGACCAACAGTTTCTATAATATTTGCAGCATATAATTTGATATTCACCTTGTGGATTTAGAGGATCACAAGATAATCTAATTCACAGTAGTTGCTCTTAACATATCAAGAGCAAAAATTATGCTGGTGACATTCTAATGGACAGAGGGAAACTTAACTTTGTTTTAGCAGTTATGTGCTAATATATGCTAATCTTGAAAAAAGAAAGCAAATACACTCAATTGAATACTCAGGATAATCTAGCAGGATTCATTTCCCTGAATTTCAAGTCATCAGATAACATAACAGGTCATGGAAAGTAAGCTTAACATCTATTGTATATCTTCATGAAGAACACTAAAGCATTTTTAAAATTATGTACAAGTATACTTAGTTGCTGATAAGAAGATACACAGACAGATACAGGAAAGATAAAAAAAATAAAGAACGTTATAAAAAAGAGAAAACCAAAGAGACCAACATTTTGCAACTGGTAAAATTGTTACTTTTTTACCTAATTCATATATGTATACAGATTACATCAAAAGCTATTATGCAAATATAAGCTATTTCCATTATGAAAGCTACTAAGCTCCTATATTTGAATCAAAGCAGAAGAGGCAAACCATTCAAAACTCACAAGCAATCATCAGTACTTTCTGCACAGAGATTGAGCACCTTCCCATCACGGCTAATTATCTGCAGCAAACAGTCTTTAGCTTTGCCCTCCGGAGGCTGAAAACCTGTCCAAAAATAGAAATGCTTTTACACCTTGTGATGAAAAGTTAATAGTTCAAAATAAAAAACAGACTCTCAAAAATCCAGACAGATGTTATTAAAATGCAAGGGGGAAAAGGTAGTTCCATTACCCCACACCTTTAAAAATTTGTAAAAGAAAAAAAGTTTATACACATACACACACACACACACACACACACACACACATGAAACAAACAAAATGTTAAATAGTTATATTTATGTAGTTACCTACCAAGCAGATCTAAATTATATTAAAGCAATCAAAGTATCTTTACAATCCCCAAGGCATGTCACAACTTTTGAGCAACCTAATGTTTGGAAATTGAAAGTTAAAAATTGATACACCCTATAATATATATATACACATACACCACAAACACACACACACTTCATCACTGGAAGTTTTAAAAAAAAGACTAGAAAGCCACTTTTCTCAAATTGTATAGGATCTCCTACTTGAGCAAGGGGTTGGACTAGAACAGTGATCACCAACCAGTGGGCTGTGGACCACTGGTGGCCCATGAGAAAATTTTGGTGGTCCTTAGAGAAATGTCACCCCCAAAGCCCCAAAGCAATTAATCCAGGCTATGCAGGAACACAAGGCTGGGCTGCCCACGTGGCCCGTGGAAACAGAAGGCTTGCATTGCTTGCACTGCGAACAACACGAGGTAGTGAGGGGAGTGGGGAAAGGGCAGAGGGGGGAAACTTGCCCCATTCGCCCCACGCACCTCGCTTGGCCACTGGGCTGCTTCTTTCTTCTCCTGCTTCTGGCTACACGCAAGGAAAGCAGCAAAACTCTTTCTTTCTCTTCCCCAAACTCCATCAGAAACGAGTCTCTGGAACCCTGCAGGGCATCCTGCTCCGAGAGGCTGTGCTGGTGCGACAAGTCTCACAAAGACTCATTTTTGGGAGAGAGAAAGAAAGACTTCCGCTGCTTCTGCTGCTTTCCTTGCATGAAGCCAAAAGTCAATCAGTCAGTCTCTCCCTCTCCCTCTCTCTCTCTCTCTCTCTCTCCTCCTGAGAATGGAGCTGGAGAAGGCGTCCTGCAATCCCAAATAAAGAATGATCGATCGGTAGGAAAATGGGGTGGGGAATTTTCCTGCAGACTTTTTTGGGGGATTTTCCCAGGGTTTCAGGTCCGCAGGATTTAAAATTATGAGTTTGGTGTTCCCTGAGGTCCAAAAGGTTGGCGACCCCTGAACTAGAAGACCTCCAAAGTTCCTTCTAGCTCTATTCTGATTGATTGAAAATAGTTCAGGTGTAAAATAATGCATGTTTAAAAAACAACCAGATCAAAAAATATAGGAATATATGAAAGGATAAAAACAACTTAACTTCTATTTTAAGTCCATAAAATTATAAAGCTATAAAAAGTTCAGAAAGACATTTGAACTTGAGATACAATATGGACAACCATTTGACTCAAAATAATTTCCAAAGTCACACGAAAGAAGTTATCTAGACAAGTCCTTCCCAGTCTAGCCACCTTCCAAATGTATTCACTTTAACTGCAGAATTCCTCAGGATCAGACAAAGTTGGAATTAGAGTGTGTGTTCCTCAGATGTATCTGCAATTTGCAATTTCCACTTATCAGATATAATCCTATCTTCTGCAATAGCAGAAAACAAGTATGTTCTATCTCCTGTGGAGCACTGTTTCTTATATTCCTTAATTTTTTATTCTCTAAGTAAACATACCATGCAATTTTTTTCAACTCAATTTTAAGCAGAGGGTAGCAAAGAAGAGCTGGGCAGTAATCATCCATATCATACAATACGAAACTGTTGCCAAATGGGGCAAAAAAACTGCTTGAATTGTTCATTACATATATTCCTTTAGTTATGAAATATATTAACTGAAACTTCCAACATCCTCTCTTCTCTTATGAAATAAAAAACAACTAATCAAAGACAGGTATACAAATTCTATCATTAGAAAAATAAAGGGACTCGTTTTATCACTGCCAGAAAACCAATTATTAGAACACTAAAATCCTATCTAAGCCTACATAAAGAATAATTCCTACTGAATCAATAAAGCCTATTATTTTGTGTGCTCACATACGCACATGCAAAAACAACCATTACTGACTGCCATTTAAAATTATTTCTCTGCATTCAACATTTTAATTAGTTTTAGACCTACACCATTAATACCATTATTACAGGTACATTAAGTTCTCTTAGATATATAGGACGGGGGAAGCAGACATAGTCATGTGAAGGGAAATGAAAAGTCATTTAAAAAGCACATACTCACCTCGGCATTCATTTCCCCCTCTGACATTGATACAGTCAATTTTCATGTGAACTCTATCTTCTAGATCATGCCTATGTTGGTTGTCATAAAATAATAAATGGCCATCAGACCACAAATCAAACCAATTTTTCTTCCAGCGTCGTAAAATAGTACCTAAAGAAATACATATAGAATAATCATGGAAGATGAAGACAAGTGAGCAATATGCAAACCTGACTTGTAACTTATTCATGTTGTGTATGTATAGGTTTTGTATAGTTTATCCTTTTAAACCACCAGCCATTAAATAAATAAAAAACTTGGTTCTCAAAACAGAAGAATTGTGTACGTCTACTTTAACAAAGAGAAGGACTAGGAGTGACATGACAGCAGTCTTCCAATAGTTAAGGGGCTATCACAAAAAAAGGGGGTCAACATATTTCGCAAAGCTGTCGTCCCCCCCAGGGCAAGACTAACATAGAACTAAGGAGAAATTTTATAACAATTGGAACAATTCATCCATGGAATGGCTTGCCTCCAGAAGTTCTGGTTGCTCCACCACTGGAGATTTTGAAGAAGAGACTGGGCAACCATTTGTCTAAATGGGTGTCAAACTGACATCATCTTGACGGCGTCATGTGGCTTATCCACACTTTTTTTCCCTTTGCTAAACCAGGTATGGGTGTGACCAGCACATAACTCATCCGGCCCGTGGACTGGGAGTTTGACAGTCCTAGTATAGGGTCTTCTATCTAAGCAGGGAGCAGGTCTAGAAGACCTCCCAAGGTCCCTTCCAACTTTATTATTTAATTATTCTATTATTTGTTAAACTGAAGTAATTAAAATCACTGATTGGTTTGAACATTCTTCAATGCTTTAAGAAAGAATTCAAACATTTTCCCTTTGAAAAAAGTTCAGTTAATTACCTCAGGATATAGGAATGATCACTAGCCATTAATCTTGTAATCTTTAAAAGAAGATTAAAAATGCTCATGGAAAATGAGGCTATGCCTGGCTACTGAACAATACCCCTATACCTCAAATTATCTTCAGGGTCACAGGAAAGGCTGGGGATTCCTCTGAATATCAGCTATTGTGAAACAAGAATCAAGTGAGCTTTCCATAATCATCCAGATATGTAGGAACCAAATACTGTAAGATCTGAGTCTGCTAAGTTACTCTTCTTTTTTTTAAGATACAGCTTTGAAGCCAGGAAATATTTCCTGACTCGTCCTAAGAACTAGCTGACTCGTTCTGACAAACCATTTATCAAGGCCAGCAATTAAGTTTTCTCCTCTAACCAGTGAAGGAGATAAACATGTCTACAATCACTGTGTGGCCAAAATGATCTTAGCACAATACTTTCATTTTAATAATGGCAATTATTAAAGTATGATAATGCAAACATGAAGCCTTTTTCACATGTTTTTCTGACAGATGGAAGAACCAAATTATTGATCAAGTAAGAACTAAAATAAACTAAGAAGTTCATTATTAGCTGACCTGAAATTTTCTTAGTCCATGCAACCACCAAGACCGTTAACAAGCAGCACTTTTTGAATCCAAGCAGCACTATTTTGGGAAGAAATATCTAATCCATATTCTCCCACTATGTATGTAGCCCACAACTCCAGAATTCCCAACCATTTCCCAAGTGGAAATCATAGGAGTTGTATCTTAAAAGGTTACATCATGGCAATTAGACCAAAGTTTATTAAAACTGAAGCATTTTGATACTCATCCAAGTAACTTGTTCAGTCAAAATGAAACGTGTAAGTTAGGCAGGGAGTCATTGGGATGTACTAACTCTTGCCATACCAACTGCAGGGGTTCTCCCCAAAATGTATTGCAAATGTAAATGAAGACTCAATCATCCAGGCCAAAAGCCTGGATGATTGAATCTTCATTTACATACGAGTTATAGCTCTGCATATCTGGGGATTCTCTGGGAACAGCTGCTTTCCCTTTCTCCCCACTACAAGAGTTCTTCCCCACTACCATCACCAATGTACATTGTCCTGTGGGAAGAAAAACAGCTTACTGATGGAAGGGGAGCTCCAGATTGGTAGAGTAGGGTGGGGAAAGCTCTTGCTTAGAGAATGCTGTTTGCAGGCTTTTTAAAACAGGCAATATGAAGTGACACAATCATTATTTCTTAATATCAAGCTATTTGACCCCAAAGCAAAGAGTGGGTAATGGAATCCATTACTTACTTTGTCGGAGCAACCATCCACTTTTCACCAACGCCATCACCAATCTCTAGAGCAAAAAGAATATGATAGACTTCTGAGATATAGCAAAATATAGCAGTAATGAGACAATGCATCAATATAACAATTCTCAAAGGGAATCTCAACTCTGGAAGTTATTAACATATCTAAAGGATGCCAAATTAATGAAAGTTGATATAAAATGCATTCCTCTCTCTTGTTGGTGATTAAAAGAATAAATAACTGATATTATTGTGGCCATTTAATACTTATTTTTATCCCACCATTATTTTTTTAATAAATAACTCAAAGAGGCACAGCAACAACCCTGTGAGGTGGGTTGCGCTGAGAGAAAGTGACTGGACTAAAGTCCTCCTTACAGCTTTCATGACTAACACAGGATTAGAACTCAGTGTCTTCTGGTTTCTAGCCTGGTACCTTAATCCGCAGGTCAAAATGGCTCTTGTCCATAATTTTAATTGTAAATAAATGAACTGTCCATAACTTCTAAAGATCCTTATAATCTCTTAAATATTTTCAGGACATTTTTATTACTTCACTTAAAAAACTAAAATATCATACTATATGAAGGACTTTTCTGTTTCTGAGAAATAAGCAGATAAAAATTATAACATTCTAGGCTCAGGAAAATCATAAGATTTAACAACAATGCTGAATGTATGTACACCTGCCTTTCCTTCCATTATTTCCTGTTAATTATTTAAACAGAACAGCTAGAGAACCTGCACCATAACTGATTTGCCAAGAACCACCTGGATATGGCAGATCAAACTAGCCTAGATGTTACTTAATGTTATAATTCCAAGACAATGGAAAAATTATAAATTAAAATTGTGATAGGAATATATTAATCAATTACCTATATATGCAATATATGTACTTTAGAGATTTAACCTATGTTCAAATTTCTGAAATCAATTTAAAAACTGAAATAAATTTGGAAACTAATAAATATCCCACATTTTGCAGTCCCAGGTGAGAAAAAACAAGGTCTTCAAACATGGACTACTCTAAGCCCCACTGCTGCTATCTCCATGATTGTGTGTGTGTATGCATGTGTACATGCACATATGAATATGTGTGCCTTCAAGTTGGTTTTTAACTCCTGGCAATAGCTTGGGTTAGTGCAAGGGTGTCAAACTCACATTGTCACATTGGCATCACATAACATATGGGGACTTTTCCCCCCTTCTTTAAACCAGGCATGGGTGTGACACATCCAGCCCATCAACCAGGAGTTTGACAGCCCTGGGTTAGTGCCTACATTTTTCTTGGCAACGTTTTTCAAAAGTGGTTTGTCATTGCCTGCTTCCTAGGTTTGAGTGGGAGTCATTGGCCCACTTTGTGTCTAAGCGTAACTATAGCCTAGTCTCCTACTTTCTATTTGAGGACTTAACCACTACACCAAACTGGTGGTAAACAACCACCAATACTGGGTAATAAATAAAAGTTATATTAGGCTTAATGCTATGGTTAATGCTGAGGTGGGAGTTGGTAGATTTTATTTTTCCCCTTTTCAGCCATCCTCAATTTTCCATTCAGCCTAGGGATAGATTTGTTAAAAACAATGCTGTCTCTGCTTTAAGGGCAAATTCAAATGATAAGCAGCAAAAGCCAAAGAAATAAATAGATGAAAGGTAAACCACACCTGTATTTGCTAATACAAAATTACATCTGCAGTCTGAAAAATTGTCTTCAGTAAATGTACAAGAAACTTCCAATGAAACTTTTCTCAAGAAAAGTTAGAAGAGGGTTTTTTTTTTTGTCCAGACTCTCACAGTTGCTTTGGAAGCTCTTCCCAATAATTTCCACAAATTTATTGTGTTGGGAAACAGAAGTAGAATTAAAAAGCTCTATGTGCATTTTAAATACCCCTTTCAAAGAAGCTGCACATCTCTTATATATTCTGTGTAAAAGGTTTGCTCCACATTGAATCATGTTCCATATTACTGGCATAAGCTCTTTAAAACAAGATTTAGAACAGTAAAATTCTTGGAATTTCTTTCAACTAGAGCCACCAATATATTGACAATTCCATTAAACTTTTAATTCATAAAAATTGACAGACATTACCTGTTTGATCTTACTGGATTAAAATTTATATCTAGGTAAATTGAATATATAATACATCCTAACAATGAATATTTCTAAATTCCTGTATGGATCCACGAAAGTTGAGAAAATACATTTGTATCCATTTGAAATGGAAACTGCATTATTCAAAATAAATCATTTTACTAGAAACAAATGCTAACTTTCTTGAATGCTAAATGATTAATTTTGTAATTTTATGTAAGGCTTGCTTCCAGATGTTTCAGGATCACAAATTATAACCAGCCATTATCAAGCAATCAAAATATATTAACTAATAAAAGATAGCATATATACGGCATACATATATAAAGTGATCCTAATATGTTGACTAGTGATAATGGGAATTGTAATCAATGTATTTGGGGGGAAAAGATCACATATATTTTTGTACATATCTAATAATTTCCCAATCTTTGTTTCATTTCATCAGATTTATAAAAAAGGAATTTTACATCTCATTGTGCTGGACTTTTTCTTAAGGGCAAAGCACAAAAGAAGTAACTGCAACCTTTAAAAACAAGCAACTCCCGACTCTCTTCTTTTGTCTAACAGCAGGATTTTTAAACCTTGGATATGACCATAACATCAAGCAAAAACTTGATGTTACTGTCAAAAACAAGTAAGCACTTTTTTCTATGACAGCCCGATGTTTGTTTATATTGCATAGTTCTTAAGAAATAGATCGGCGCATCATTACAGTCTTGAATTATCTTCTGCGGGAATTCAGAAACCCTTAAGAGTTTGAAAGTCTATACTGGTAAAAGATGGTTTTAAAACCTGCAGTCCCTCCCCCGCTCCTAAAAAGGCTATACTGAAAAGCCATTAAACTATCTTCTCTTTCCTGATGTAAAACTTCACAGCCTTCTTTTCTCTGACATTAAGATGGGCAAAAAATATAAATAAGAGATTCAGACTCCATGAACTCGTTACAGCTCGAAGGATTACAAAACGCGATTGGCGTGACCTCGTTGGATTTGTCTCTGCCTCCTCTAGACGAGTTGTAGCCGGTGTGGCAGCCAGCCGCCCTCCCATCCCACCACGGTAGTACGGCTTCCTGTCTGTCTGTCCTCCCTGTCCTCTACTTAAGGACTCACACAAAGCGCACCACCGCCCGTCGCCCGGGAAAACACGACCTCCAGCGCAGCTAAACTTCGAGACCTAAAAAGTTACCCCTGGAGCTACTCTTCTCCCTTTTCTGGAAACGATAGAATTAATCATACATTTCAGCGAGAAGGAGGTGCAAAAGGCACTTATCTGACCTGTTACACTTTGCAAAGAACGCACAACTCCTGGAATTCCGGCTCTCGTTCTTCCTTGTTGCCGAGAAATGGAAACGCTTCCCCGGCACCACCTCTCAACGCCCAGGCCTCTCTCGTCAGATGGATCCTGTGATCGTTTGCGTCACTTAATACAACTGCACATGCTCATAACCGTAGGTGGGAATTGTAGTTTCCCAAAGCAAAAGAAGGAAGGTGACACACACATACCGTTATTTAATTGTGCAATATAGTATTATGTCACAAAAACAAAGGATACGTTGATATGAGAAGATATCTGTGGAACTATCTACACAGTTTCTCAAACTTAGCAAGTTTAAAATAGTGTGGACTTACAACTCTCAGAATTCCCAGTCCATAGTGGTGGGGGAATTCTGGGAGCAGAAGTCCATACATCTTAAAATTATAAAATTTGAAAATACTGCCCTACAACCATTCCCTGCCAAACCTTTTCTCCTATCTCAACTCAAGTGGAACAAATTATGCCAAGAAGAGATAACAATTATCTGCTAAGGGATAATGCCAGGAGGCCGCATATAACACTTGAATCATGGGCTAACTCCCCAAAATGAAGGATGCTCAAAGTAAGGCAGAAAGAATAAATATATTGTTTTTAGGGAGATATTAACATGATTCTGCTTGATAATGAAATGTGTGCCAGATTAAAGGGTCATCCATCGGTCATTCACCCATATTTGTCAAGCAGGAAACGTCTTGCTTACAACAAAAACCACAGAGGTACAAGAAGCCAGGATTTTAGCAAGGTGGGTTAGCAAAGATTTTGTGAAATCCAGCTACTTTCGCCCAGCAACAGGGGAGGAGGGTTGCTGAAATTCAAAGTAACCAATGGATGATTGACAAGTTGTTTTCCTGTGGTTTGTAGCCTTTGGAGTGTATAAAAGTAACTGTAAAACCCATAGGAAGGGTTCAGATGTGCTCTGGCTAAAACGCTCTGAACCTTTGCGCAAATAAAAACTTATTTTTTGGATTCCAAGGTCTTATCATTTCCTGCAACAAATGTGAATTCAGATCTGTAGTGCTCTCTTTTGTTAATGTAATGAGTGGCAGAAATGTTTGTTAGGGGAAAAGAGTCATGAAGCATAAATTGTAAATTAATCTCTTAACAAAATTAAAGGAAGATATAAAACTTTCACATAAACAGCTTCTTGTTATAGCAATGAGTGTTGGAGTAAATACTTCTACAGCACTGTTACAATCAAGGGCAGTGTATTTAAAATTAGTAGAATCATATAAGAGAAAATGAGTGCTGAGCATAATATGCAGTGATTTAACAGCTTGCTGTTTGGACATGCTTGGAAATATTGGGCTCCTAAGATGTATAAGAGTACAACAGATCAGTGAGTGTACAAAATATGAAATTGGGCAATAATTACAATATTAGTATATCATACAAAAATCACTCAAATAACAATCTACATGAAAATAATATCTGCAGAAACAGCCCCCAAGGAGAACACGATTCCAGTTGCTCCAAAATTGTATTAACATCAATAGGTGGAGGAAAAGAATGCTATTTTTTAAATTATCATGACAGACTATTTTTTGCCAATGATAGCCCCAGAACAAGTTCTTCTGAAAATCTGAAGTAATATACATATCCATCTTCTGATGTAGTCAAGCCTATCTTTAATCAATAAGTATATCTTGAAGAGATTTTATGGTACACTATTTATTTATGCTGTCCATCTTGCTTAGAGGCAACTTTAGGTGGCTTACAACCAGTAAACACTAATCTGAACTATTAAAACAAATATTAACATTAAAACCGTTTTAGTTACTGCTGTTTAAGGCTACTATCATCCAGCAAACATAAATACTGGCTATTAAACATACCTAACTGCAGTCATCAATGTCTATAATTGCTATAACTATTTATACAGTATATACAGCTATCAACAAGCCATACAGGCAGATCAAATTAGAAGCAAATCTACTTGCATCTCATGTAGGAAATTGGTAATGACATGAGTGAATGCATTGACATCAATGCTTTGTTGGCCAGAGCATTATATTCTGTAGTACCTGGAGGTGATGTTATTTCTCTCTGGAAAACCCAGGGACCAAGGGATGTCTTTCCATGCAGACAATTATCTTTGGAGATAATATTTATCTGATGCACTGATGGCTTATAAAGCTGTTTTCTTAGGCAAAGCAGCATACGTATTCAGTGCAGGAACTTAGCAGAGTGCCTTTGGAAGGCTGAATGTTAACACTGTCTCAGAACAAGGTTGCCTGTGGTTGATGAAAATGTGAGTGCCATCACATTTATTCCCTCTTCTGGTTGCAAACCCTTATCATATTGATTGACAAAGATAACAGATAATCAAGAGTTGGAAGGTGTTGTAATGACGAGGCAGTTGAGTTGTTTGATCATGAACAACTGAATCATGATGATGATCTTTATTGGAGTATAGTCTTGCATTTATATACATTTTTAGTTATCCTCCATCATTGGTTAACTTTGGTTACTGCTTAATTTTCGTTACTGTTTAGTACAGTAATCCATACAATTAATTATCTCTAGTTAAAGTCTAACATATGTTTACTTCCCATCTCTAATCCTCCTTTATCCATAGATTAGTGACTTTGTTTGCCTGAGTTGTATTTGCTTGGAAACATTCTTTATCTGAGGTTTGCCATCCAAGACTGGAACATTCCTGCAATTACAACTCTACAGGAAGGGATCTTGTAGGTCATCTAGTCCAACCCCCCCACCCAAGACCTACACCATTTCCGACAAATGGCAGTCCAATCTCTTCTTGAAAGTCTGAAGTGATGGCGCTCCCACAACTGCCGAGGGTAAGCTGTTCCTTTGGTTGGTTGTTCTTGCTGTCAGAAAGTTTCTCCTTATTTCCAGGTGAAATCTCTCCTTGTTCAGTTTCCATCCATTATTCCTTGTCTGACCTATAGGTGCTTTAGAAAAAGGCTTGACTCCTTCCTCTCTATGGCAGCCCCTCAAATATTGGAAGACTGCTATCATGTCCCCTGGTGCTTCTTTTTACTAGACTAGCCAAGCCCAGTTCCTGTAACCGTTCTTCATATGTTTTAGTCTCCAGTCCCCTAATCATCCTGGTTTCTCTTCTCTGTACTTTTCTAGAGTCTCAACATCTTAAATTTGAAGGACAGTACTAAGTCAGGCTGTTTTATTACATCATGGATCATAGCTGATTCCTATAAAAGGAGCAGCATATGTGAATAATTGTGGCTCTTAGAAGCTTGGCTAAAAGGAGCTGTGTCCTGTCACCTTCAATTTAGCTTTCTAGCATTAGGTCCATCTCTGAATATCCCCACTATCCAAATTCTAATGGAGGTTACAAAGAAAATGATATAGGTTGACATATATCTTGGTTACATGCCCGTGGATGACTGTGGCCCATGATAATAAAAGCATTATATCCTTGCACACAAAGCAGCCTTGAGGAATTTGTGGGCTTTGTTTGCAGCCTTGGGAAGCAAAACCCAGAGTTTCATGCCCTGTGATACCATAGCCCAAAAGGGCTGCAGACCAATTATGTATTGGTGGTCCAATACTCTTTTGAGTATGGCCAACTCACAACCAACCCACAAACTCAAGGCCTGGGGGCCAGATCTGGCCCGTGGGGTACTTAAATCTGGCCTGCAGGGCTGCCCTGGAAATAGCAAAGGACTGGCCTCTGGTGCTTCTGCCCACGAAAACGGGCTCCCGAGCTCCATTTTCAGCTGCCACAGCCTCCTGCAACCCTCTGCCAGTGAAAACAGAGCTTGGGAGCCTGTTTTTGCTGGTAGAGCGCTCGGGCTACCACAGGCGCTCCCAACAGGAGTGACGTCAAGCTGGCCATACCCACCCTAGCCCCCACAAGTCAAGCACAACCCTGATGCGGCCCTCAATGAAATCGAGTTTGATCCCCATATTCTAATGGTTTGAAACTGCAGGAATTTCACATTTGTGGCTTTCATGACAACTGCAGAGCCTCATTTGAGGCACCTGAATTTTTTTAAAAAAAGCTGCAATAAATGCTGCAATCCTTCAGTTTTGATATATGGGAGGGGTTGTTACTTAAATATCTATCCTTGTTAAGTTTAAGAACTTTAGAATCATCCTTGCACATATTTTTAACGTGCACATTTTACTTTAGCTAGCTCTTCTTATTGATGAATAATCAAAGTGCTATGGAGCTGGAACATTTCATTTTGTTTTGTTTTGCTGGAAGTAAAATACTGTTATGTCCTTCTCCATCAAACAGGACACACATTTTTATGCAGCCTTTATTGAGATTCTTGCTTCATGCATATTTTATTTTTAAATGTATTAGAGAAATTTAATGTTTTTCTACATTGCAACAGAATATTGCCATGGGTTCTGATAAGGTAACTGACATTTTGTGTAACAGTGGCTATAATGGGTTAAGAACGAATCATTTTTTTATACATAGGTGGCAGTGCATTTACTTTGTACAATGTTTACAGCCGATGTTCTGGATGTATATTTTTGTAGTTGATCTTCAACAATTAATACTACCAGCAATAAATTTATCTATTCACTGATGTTACCTAGTAATGAAACGTTTGCAAGAAAACAAGCAACCTCGGAAAGCACCAAGGACCCCCTCATTTATCTATTCGGGTAACTACTGATCCCTAACTATTTAACTTTAAATGTCCTGAACGAGATACTAAAAGAAGTTACACCCTGGCATGTCCTTTTCTCGGGTCGTCATTTTAACAAGATTACATGACTTCTGCGTATATAAACAATCCTTTAAAGGACCCTCCAGCCTCTTGGACTCTTATTACAATGTGCATCTAACTGCGCATAACGTTATGGGCCGAATTATTGTGAACACGAGTCTAATTTATGACACAGGAGCAACTCTCTAAATTCGAATTTGCTTTGTTTTGAAGGGGGAAAGAAAAATCCATTCGCAATCAACAGCAACGGCGCCAAACCCACTCCGGCCACGTGATATGGGGACCCGCGTCTCTCTGTCTCTCTCCTCCCGCATGTGACAGCAGTTCTTGGCTCGCCTTTGGGGGCTTCATACGTATGCGGGCATCGTCCGTCCTTTGCACACAGCCGACGAGCGGATGTGACGTTCTGGGCCGCTGGGTTGCTGCGCA